TAAGTCTGATATACCAAGCTAAGCTCCAGAAGGTCAGGAAAAATGTCCTTTACTTCTCTGTATTCCACATTAAGCCTCAGACAGAATTGGTCATTTTGTGGTTGCATAATTTTAAGAGCCATATTACCTGGGTTTGGATCTTGGCTCTGCTACTAAAAGCTATGTAACCATATGTATGCTTTAACATTTGTGTGCCTCAGCTTCTTCATTTGAGAATATTTACCTCAAAAGGTTGTTGTGGAAATTAAATGAATAAATACATGTAAAGTACTTAAAACAGTGCCTTGCATACAGTAAGCATTCCTCACATAGCTATTATGGTCAGAAGAATTGACAGAAGAATGGTGATTCTAATTCTTGAATCACTGACACTTGAGAGACCCTGTGCTCCCTCTTCCTCCAAGCCTTAATCCTGCTCTTTTATGCTTGTTTTATTGTGCCAAGGTCCCCACTCTGATGATGGACACCCAGTTCTCGGAGTTCACACCAGACATCACTCCCATCATGCTGGCCGCCCACACTAACAACTACGAAATCATCAAATTGCTTGTCCAAAAACGGGTCACTATCCCACGGCCTCACCAGATCCGCTGCAACTGTGTGGAATGTGTGTCCAGTTCAGAAGTAGACAGCTTGCGCCACTCCCGCTCCAGGCTGAACATCTATAAAGCTCTGGCAAGCCCCTCACTCATTGCTTTATCAAGCGAGGACCCCATCTTAACTGCTTTCCGCCTGGGCTGGGAGCTCAAGGAGCTCAGCAAGGTAGAGAATGAGTTCAAGGCTGAGTATGAAGAGCTTTCCCAACAGTGCAAACTCTTTGCCAAAGACCTGTTGGACCAAGCTCGGAGCTCTCGGGAATTGGAGATCATCCTCAACCATCGAGATGACCACAGCGAAGAGCTTGACCCTCAGAAGTACCATGACCTAGCCAAGCTGAAAGTGGCAATCAAATACCACCAAAAAGAGGTAAGGTGAGCCCTTATCTGCTTTCCAGTAAACTTAAGACCTCCAGAGTCCAGAGTAGTAGAGCAAGAATCAGCATTTTTCTACCATTTAGCCCTCTAACAAATAATTAGGCCTCAAAAACAGGCCCGTTTACCCAAGGCACATACAGCCTCTGCATATTTTATGGCCAGATAAGTAAAAAAAAAAAAAAAAAATACTGATCATCTGATTCTTGGATAGGAAAGCGCTTATTATTTCAACAAATGTTTATTTAGCACTGTTCTAGGTGTATGAGATATAGAAAATAGGCACTCTCTCGCCTTGCTTTCATGGAGCTTACAAGCTAGTGGTAGACATTAAGCAAATGATAACATTACTGAATATATAATTACAAAGTAATGTAAGTGCTCTGAAGAAGTTCTGAGAGCATATAACAAAAGACCCTACCCTATATACTAGGACATGGCAGCCAGTGATCATGGATGGCTCACTATCTGGATACTGGTAATTATTGACAGAACTAAGTCCTTTGCAGCCCCTTGGCAAGAAGGCTAGGACATGTATTTGAAAAATGGAGTCATATTCAGTGTGTGTAGTTCTATAGAAGGCTGGAGAAACATCTGCCATGGTGTGACCTCCAAATCTTCAGCATTCACGTCTTTGAGGGAGGTCAGTTCAAGATCTCAGAAGAGGTTTTGTTTTCCAGCTTGGCCACATTTACAATCTAGCCAGTACTGTTCTATGCCATCGAATCAAACAATTTTGGGGAACCTCCCAGCTAGCCTAGTAGCCTAATTTGGCTCTTTAAGGAGGCAGCATGGTACAGTATAAAGAGCAGGGACTTTGGAGCCGAAGAAATTGAGGATGGAACTCCAACTCACAAGCTGTATGACCTGAAGAAAGTCGCTCAAATTTTCAGGACATTTGGGTTTTTTTGTTTTGTTTTGTTTTTCCATTTATAAAATAGAGATGACATGACACTAGTTCCTCCACTTCATAGAGTTATTATAGGAAATAAATGAGAAAATGCTAGTATGGCACAGGAAGTACTTCAATGTCCATTTTCATCCCTCTGCCAATGCTACTAGGAGTCAGATTCAAACAGGTTGAACCAAGAGGTGTTTGCCATCTGAAGGGCAAACAGCAGTACCACCCCTTCATGGGTCCAAGCTTTGAGGCAAATCACATTGTGTGCTTACCAGGTCCCTTTCTCTCAGACAAGAAAAATATATACTATATCTTTGAAATTAGGCAAAAATGAGTACCAGGGGCAACCTTGAAGGGAATTAAAAAAAAGACAAAAGAAACAACATAAAGACTGAAAGGGTGAGTTGGGGGAAATGGTAAATGGATAGGCCCATCCACGTCTGCTAATCCTGTTTTTGCCACTAATTGCTTTAAGTATTTCACTAATACTGCAATTACTTAACCTCACTTTTCTCTTCTGAAAAACAGGGATAACAAGAGCACTTACCTCCCTGTACAAATATAAAGTTTAAATAAAATAAAACAAGTAATATGCACAATATTCAGCATACATTTAAATAAAATAAAACAGGTAATATGCACAATATTCAGCATACATTAGGCATTCAATAAATATTAGCTGCTATTATTATTCATTCCCACCACCCCACTGTTGATGTATAGTATCAGTTGTGTTAAGTAGTCTGCTGTAGTCTAATTGACTTTTCTTCACTTTGATATATTTGTATATTTCCATTAATGATATATATTACAGTTTCAGTGTGTTTTTCACTTTACATAAATTGTTATAATACTGTGAGAAAAAAATCACAGGTATTTTTAGAACATAAATTGCTTCCAAATGAGAAAAATGTTTAATGGGAATACAGTATTAAAAAATAGATATTGCAGAATATAACTAAAGTTTGTATTCCTTACCTCATTAGATAGCAGATAAACTTAACAATTTCAGGTTCCCATACCCTTGAAAATTGACAAAGCTTTTATTTTCAATTTCAATGCAATATTTTGTCAATTTTGTATTAATAGATCATTTCCCAACTACTGTATCACTTGACTCCTTCTGCTCATATAATCTTCATTTGCAAATTTTAGTTACAGCTCTATTTGGAAACCATCATGATGACTTCCTCACTTTCATGGGAATCTGCTTAGCATATGACCATGGACTCACTCTTGAGTTCTACATTCACTGCTCTCTAGCCCTCATTAACCTTTACAACATTTTTCCCTCATGTTTTAGTCTTTTATATTCCTGAAACTTTGTCTCCTATTTCATAATTTATCTTATTATTTTTTATTACAGTATATCTCCATGTTACTATATGTTCATACAATATACTTCTCAGCTATCATTATAACAACCAGAATGTGCCACGGGCTTGTGTTACTTTTTGTCCTCTTAATTAAGCACCAGAGATTCCAAAATTGTTTTGAGTCCATTTGTTGTGTACTGTGTACATTCAAGAAGAAAAGTTGATTGTTTTTATTGTGGTAAAATATACATAACAAAATTTACCATTTTAACAATTTTTAAGTTCAGTGGCATTAAGTACATTCACATTGTTGGGCAACCATCACCACCAGGAATCATTTTTTTGAAGATGCACAAGTTTGGGGGTATCCATTTTTCTTTTCAATAGTGAGCCCATACAGTTGGAGTTTCGTATTTTGCAGACCACATTATTTTTAATCCATAATACTGGCAAAGCAGTACCTTTTAACTTTTCAAAATTATGAATATTCAGCAGTAATACAAAAGTAATACAAAAAGCACTATATTTGTGCAAAGAGCAACAATTTTAGGCTTGGTGGTATCCATTCACCATTGTGAATCAAATCAATGAGAACTCTGAAATTTAATAGACCAAATGAACTATTTCAGTCAGAGCACATCAAATTCCAACACCAGGTTTGCAGCAAATGCAGCAAAGATAGTGAGTGAACTTCAATGTCAATAATTTCATGAAAAAGAATATACTTTCACATAAACCCCTAAATGGCCCAAAGTTTAATCTCATGGCCAGAGACTTTGGAATTATTTTGGAATTTATATATTTAGCTCCAAATCTTCCAAGATAAATTATCTTAACAATGGTGATAGATCAATTTAAGTTTAGGTTCTCTTCAAATGAAGCTACACTGATAAGCAAGGCAAGCTTGAGAATCCAGATACACCTTAAGGTTTGCACTCCAAAGACACCACTTCCAGAATGTAAAACATGATTTATACTCATCAGAATCTATAAATATCTTCTGAATTGTGACTGCATTTCTACTAAAAATCTTGTAATCCTTCCCAATCTATGAAATATAGTATTTTAAAAAAAACCCTGCAGTTCCATTTAGTCTCAAATGAGTATACAGTTAACTCTTGAACAACATAGAGGTTAAGGGTGTCGACCTCCATGCAGTTGAAAATCCTTTTTCTTTTGACTTTTGACTCCCCCAAAACTTAACTACTAATAGCCTACTATTGACCAGAAGCCTTCCAGATAACATAAACATTAACATATAAAGCTATAAAGCTAGAGAAAATGTTTTTAAGAAAATCATTACAAAAATACATTTACAGTATTGTCATATTTATTGGGAAAAATCCACATATAACTGGACCCACGCAGTTCAAACCTTTGTTGTTCAAGGGTCGATTGCAGTCTCTAATTGCTCTCTATTCAATCTACATGTCTACTCTAAGGCTGAATACTCTCAGCTTGAATAAATCAGCAATGTCCTTATTTTGGGGTGTTTTGATAATTTCAAGTTGAGTGTGTTTGGATAAGAAACACTATCCTGTAAGCTACTGAGGTTCCAATAATCCAGGTATCTGTCAGCACTTCATTCTCAGAAGTCCTGGATCTGAGGAAGCAAACTGTCTGTTCAATAAATATCCATAATCTAGTCTTTAAAAAAGTAAAACATATACACAGTGCTTAATGCCACAAGTACAAAAGGTCAGTCTTGATAATTTATTATATACAATACACTTGAGCACCAATTTTCACAGTACAAACCCCCTTTATGTAGGATGTGATGGAACAAGGCCAACTAACCTTTTTCTTCAGACACTAATCAATTAAAACTAACTTTATCCTTCTATTATATATAGGGCAAATGAACTCAGCTTTTCTGTTAGAAAAAATTCCTCAAATTCTTTAGAAGCATTTATTTCACGTGTGCTTACTCATCAAGAAGAAAAATGTATTAACATTTTGAGTCATAACCCAGGGTCTGGTGAAACATATTTGGTTTGAGTGCTGCATGTCAGGAGCCCCTAAACAACTTGGAGGCATTTTTTTAAAGACCAGCTTTTCCAGATAAGCTTCAGGCCCTGAAGAAGGCTGGAGAAGAATTATCTCCCAAAACCAGAATTACTCAAAGGAGAAATAAACTCTAGATGGGAATAGGACAACTAAACTAAAAGAAAATTTTTTCTTTGTTTTCATACCTGATTACATGTTTAATTCCAATTGGACCACGAGGTTCTATCTTCAGGATATATAGGTTACTTTCTTAGTGTCTATAATCAGAACAGGAAAGAGCA